ACCACCTCAAGTTGGCGGCGCCGGCTTCAACCACTCCCAAGTCAATACCCTGAGGCCCCCCCCCCTTTGCCTCCCACATAATTAAATCCTGTACTAGTCCTCCTCAAACGTCCTTGAAACCACTCGAATGTCGCCGGAATTAGGCGAATTTTGAAGTGACGAGCCGGCAGAACCCTAACTCAGAAATCTTGGGGATTTTTGACCGTAATTTCCCTAATCACGTGTTTTCTTTTGAAAACACACGATTAGGGATGTTACGTGTCAAGAATCCCGGAGGATTCAAACAACAGATAGCCGGTCGAAGTTCATCCCATGGTCAGTCGAATGCTTAAAATCAGTAAGTTTTGTTCGATTCTGTCTTTGATTATGTGTGTGTTTTCGTCTTGTTCTTGTAATCGTTCTTAGCTTTAGCTTAATTTTGTTGGCTTGATTTAATCCTGTTCTGTTAAACCTTAGGTTTTAGTTTTATTTTTTTTCGTTTTGAATCTGTCCTGCTAAATGCTTGATTTCAGTTTATGGTTCATCGTCATAATTCTTCATTAGTCGTCTTAGTCAATTCTGTTTAGGATTTGTTGGTTTTAATTTTTTTTTTCTAATGTTGGAGTTAGTCAGATAGCTTCGTTTAATCAGTAGTTATCATTAGTAATGCCTTAATTCAGCGTTTAGCATTGATTAGCATTGATAGGTTTTAGTTTAGGATGGTCTGGTTTAGCTCAGTAATTTCAGGGGGTGCTAAGGGTAGTTTAGGCAGGGGAAAAGGGTAGTTTAATCAAAGTTGGTAATTGTTGAAGTAAAGTAAGGGTAGAATAGGAATTGTAATGGGTATAGAACCTTCTAGGATGGACTATAGTATAGATTTCAATAGAATAGGTGTAGTTACTTGTGTAACAAGTCAGAAAATAAAGGGTAGAAAATAGAATTAGAATAGGGACTAAGGGCTAAAAGAAAAATCTGAAATTGGACCCTAAGTTCACCTATAAATAGGTATTCATTTGCCTTGATTCACAAGTTTGGAGGCCTAGAATTCCCACCCCCAAAAGTACTCTTCAGTTCCCAGATTTGAAAGTAGAATTTCAAATCTTCTTCCAGCTCTTAATTTATAGCAGAAAACTCAAAAAAAAAAAAATACTATTCCCTGGAATATTTTGGTTCAGTTCGATTTTCAGTAGGTGGTTTGGATTTTCTAGCTTAATTCCAATTTGCTAGAGCTTCTTCTGGGATCTGTTGGTCCAGTTGTGGGTTAATTCGAGTCCATTTGAGTCTAGTGAGGGTATTTGCTATTGCTGTTGGTTTTTTCACAACTTTCCGGGCTGTGTTTAAGTGTGATTCTGGGTGGAAATTGAATTTGCTGCTGCTTTGGCTCCAGTTACTGCTACTGTTACGCTTCGTTGCTGTCCTCCTCATTCTCATTGTATTTTTATATCCAGGTACACAATTGAACTCAAAATTGATGTAGCTTCGAGCTTGAGCATGAAATGAAAGTATTCAGCCGTTGTTTGCTAGAGGACGCATTCATAATTAAGTAGCCATTAGTAATATGTATTGTAATGAAGTTTACTTAGATCCACATTTGGACTGTTAATTTGTGGCGATCAGCTGCAGAATTAGTGTAGCTAGGTACTGGTTTCAATTTAGCACTCTGTTAAGCATAAAAAAAAACAAAATCGGAACAGGTTTGAATTCATAATTGGTTGAGAGATCAGCCCGTTTCAATCTCCATTTCAAAGCTAAAGTGTGCTTTTCGAACAGTTTCTTGTATTACAGTAGTCGATATCAGCATACTAGTTCAGATGTCATCTCTTTCGTTTCCTTAAGCTCATTATTTCAACATAGGGAAAAATAGTTGCATGTCAGTGGTTAATATCAGTAGTTTTATTTAAATTAAATCATGCATCATCAACTGGACTGATTGGAATTAATTAACCCGTTTTTGAGAGTTCTTAGAGTTGTTTAATAGCCTATTCCCAGGATATTTGGGCCTAAGGATGTCTGATACGAGGGCCCAGGTCCACGCTAAGTCCCTTCACGTGTGGATTTGGGCCTAGGCCTGGACTGGCAGTTTGTTAGTAGAGCATGGGTATAATACTCCTTTGTTGGGCTCATCTTAGAGCCCGATGGGTGGCCTTGACATAGAATTGTCATTTGACTTATTTCAGTTCAATAACAAACTTTAGGACTTTTCTTGTGCTGTTAGAGATAAATGAAAATATAGTTGCTTTTAGGATTGCCCTTCAATGAATAAAAATTACACGAGCCTCGGCAAATTGCGGGTCCTCGATAATGCTAAAAAAATAAAATTCGGGTGAGCCGTCTAGCAAATTTCACGGTTTTCCCCAAAGATAATAAACGCGTAGTTGCTTTAGGCGCGTACTTTAATAATATTACCTTCCTAAATGTGGGTGCACATTTATGTGACCCGAATCTAAATCTCAACGGAGTCGAAATGCGTCAAAAGCCACGGGTGCACTGGTGTAACGTGGTTTGAGATACATTTTCACGACGTTGCAATTCTTATTAAAAAGACATAAAGTAAAAGTGGTTAAAATAAAGTCACATAGGTAAGAAATATGTTTAAAAATCAGATAACTTAAGCCGAATATAACAGTTAAGCGACCGTGCTAGAACCACGGAACCCGGAAATGCCTAACACCTTCTCCCGGGTTAACAGAATTCCTTACTCGGATTTCTGGTTCGCGGACTGTTAACAGAGTCATAACTTCCTCGGATCGGGATTCAACCGGTGACTTGGGACATCATTAATCTCCCAAGTGGCGACTCTGAAATCTTAATAATAAATCCCGTTCCGATTGTCCTTTAAGTGGAAAAACTCCTTTACACCCTTGCGGGTGTAGGTAAAAAAGGGAGGTGTGACAATAGGTGAATTTAACTATAATTAGGCCCTAAAGAACCACCTTCTTGTATAGTTTTGATGATAAAAGTGATAAAAAAATGCTCTGATTAGTGCTTTTCATGCTTTGCAGGTGATATATGACAAGAGAAGGCTATGGAGTACTTTTGGGATCAAATATGGAGAAAAAGAGGCCAATCGTAAAATTTTTCCAAATGAACCAAGCGAAGCAGTTCAAGCCAAGCCTGAAGAAGGACTGCCGCGGTTCCACTGCGACCGCGGCAGAACCGTGGTAGAAGTGTGTCGCGGATAATTTGAGATTCAGAGAAGGTGTGTGGCCGCGGTTTGACCGCGACCGTGGCAGAACCGCGGCAGAGGCGGAAAAGTTCAGGGACTTAAGTGCAAAACACGGGATTTTTAGCCCAAAACCCTATTTTAAATACTAGACTTCGCCTAAAGGAGTCAAGAATTGTATTGGATAATATTTTAGCAAGGAAAACAATTGTGAGAGATCACCCAAAACATCTTTCTTCTTTTCTTTGATTTTCTTGCAAGTTTTATGATGAATATTGTTTTAGTTTGTTTACCCATAGTTATGAGTAGCTAAATCCTTTGTCTAAGGTTTTGATGGAACCTATTGGGGGATGAACTTCTTGTTTATGTAAATACAAATTGCTAGTTCCAGTCTCTATTTGTTCAACTATGTGTTTGTTGTAGTTAATTGATAGGATCCTCAATTAGCTGTGCCTATTTATTGTGCATAACTCGGGAGAGAGTGCACATTTAGGTAATTGTTGAACAACACCACTCCCAAAGTATATTAGGGATCAATAACCGAGGGTTTAAAGGCGGGATTAGGGATGACGAAGCCTTGCGTGTAATCTAAAGTGAATTGTGTTAAATAAAGCAAGCTAGTATATCTCGAGAGAGTGCAACTAGTAAATTACTGTGATTACTCGGGAGAGATTTACGGTAAGGAGAGCGTTCATGATTAATAGAGATGTGTTGGTAAATTTGTATGAAGCATAAATAGAAGGGATTCCATCAATAGAGGGAATCATTACCTTAGCACTTTCTCATTATTGTTTACAGCTTAGCATCTGTAATTTGTAGCTATTAGTTACTGTTGATCTTAGTTATTAAAAACACCATCAACTGCTATTAGTTACTGTTGATCTTAGTTATTAAAAACACCATCAACTGTGATTCTCAACGTTTGGAAAATTGATTCTAAAGAGTTTAGTAGGTCTAAAGATAGTGATTGATAGGTTAATTCTCTGTGGATCCGACTCTGGGCATAATACTCAGGTTATATTTACAACATCCGCATTGTCCTTTTTATAAGATATAGTTGGACGTGATCATGTAATACCTACCGTGGGACATCCCAAAGAAATGAGATCTGACACACATCCCACAGAATACTTCTTCCTTCTTTAATTGTCTATGTGATATACTAATATATTGAAAAGATTGGGGCCCACCTCGTTGATTCCTCCTTTTTGGACTTTCCAAATTTGTTTATGTTTTCACATAATATTAGGGTGTTCTTAGGTGCATGATTGAGGTTAGAATAGTAGATTGCAACTGTATCAAATTAGTTTAGTTCTTTAAGAAAACAATAGGGAACGTTTTGTTTTATATTAGTCTTCTTGATTTAGCTAGTGATTTAATTAAGACTAATTAACAATAATTATTCGTTGGTTTCTTTCGTTTTCTTTTTCTAATAGTATCTAACTAGTACTAGTAGATTCCTTCTGAACATGTCATGTTGTGATATGTTTTATTTGAGCACATTAGCTTATATTATTTTAACAAAATTCTTACTATCACTTTGTTTTTTTTTGAAAGTCAAATATGTCTTATTCATCACATCATTGGGTAGATGTCTGTCCCAACAACCTCGAACAAAGTGATAGTAAGAATTTTGTTAAAATAATATAATCTAATGTGCTCAAACAAAACATATCACAACATGACATGTTCAGAAGGAATCTACTAGTACTAGTTAGATACTATTAGAAAAAGAAAACGAAAGAAACCAACGAATAATTATTGTTAATTAGTCTTAATTAAATCACTAGCTAAATCAAGAAGACTAATATAAAACAAAACGTTCCCTATTGTTTTCTTAAAGAACTAAACCTAAGAACACCCTAATATTATGTGAAAACATAAACAAATTTGGAAAGTCGAAAAAAGAGGAATCAACGAGGTGGGCCCCAATCTTTTCAATATTCTACTTATTTAGAAGCGGGAGTTGAGGTGCTTTTTGTCGTCCGGCTTCTGCAATTACAACAAACTCCCTTCTTTGTATCAAAATCCGGGGTTATTTTGATCTTTCTGTCATGTCTTACACAGCCGATTTTGTGGACGCAAAATCGCTGAATTCTTTTTCGTTCCCTCCGTGCTCTGTTTCTCTCTCTTGGGTACGCGCGCCTTTTTGTCGTCTCCTTCGCTTCCGGCGTGGAAGATAAACTGGTTCTTGCTTTTGGCGCTGTGACCTGTTCTTCTCGCTCTGCACCACCTACGTTTTTGGTGGGTATCTGCAATTAACGTTGTCCCTTGAAGTCTGTTTACTTTGGTACCCCTTGCTTCTGCATATTTGCTCTTTAACCTCAACGTTATAGCGGACAATTTACCGCACTGGTTAGCTGTGATCGCCCAATAAATTGTGAAACACCTTTTGTTTTGCTTGGGTTTCCTCCTTGTTTTTGCAGCTTCACTTTTCTGCTATCTTTCTGTTTGGTGGCTGAAAGGTGAGTACTCTTCGTATTTCTTCTCCTTCTTTAGATTTGTGTGGCTGCGTTAATGGACCGCAACGGGTTCGGCAACTTTTAACTGCTACCTAATGGTTTATATGTGAACTAATTTATTGTTCTATAAATCATCTGCATCCATTTTGTTCCGCTGATTTAGTCACAGCCTCAGAGGATGCATTGTAATTTAATTATTTGACTGATTAGAAATTTCTTATAGTTGATTTTGGATATAGATACCTATTTTGCTGAAACCTTCAGAGTAGTTGCCGTCCAAGAGAGAATTGGATTTGAGTTTGACCTTGTTGAAATTTTATGCGCTCACCCTGGTCTTGCGCAATGGATAATCCCACTCAGGGTTGTAGCTACCTTTGGTGAAGGGGTTCAATTGATCCGGTGGAAAGTTACAATTTGAAAAAAGGATAAAAACAAATTTCTTTGTATATACCAACCATTGAGCCTCCTTGACATAGGTTCATATCTTATTTATGACATTCTTACATTTTTTTGAATCCCCTTATTCAAAATTCGGACTCCACCACTGACCGTTATTGGGTGGATTGTGTGCATCATCTGTGCTCATTCCGCTCTTTTGATTCCGTCAGAGAATACGTTCTAACTTCACTATATTCGCATTATCTGGTTGACTACTTAAATATAATTCTTTTATAGTTGATTTAGGATAGATTTTTATATCTTTGGAGAAATCTCCTGATTATTAAGCTTGTATTCTGCTATTGCTTACGACACAATCCACAATGATCGAAAGCTGTAAAAAGACAACCTTCTGCAGATGGTGTGCAGGAATGAACTGTAAAGCAAATTGATGGTTCATGAGTTATCCAAGTGTAAGAAGGAAGCTCTGTATTTAAGAATAAATATAACATCAACTGTCAGTACTCTAGCCTTCGTCTTTCGCCTCCTCCTTTAGATCTAAATGACCTTCTTATGGATTTTGTGAATAGTTTTTGAAATGCTCTTCTATAAATTTTATAATGTTTACTTCCATCTCTATTTTTCTTATTCCAATTTTAGGCTCCTTTTTAGATCCTTGTAGTCTTAACGATAAACGAAAGTTAAATCAGTCATGAATAAAAGTTAACATGATTATAGATAAAGTACCATATGAATCGCAGGAATAGAAAGAACAGGAAAAAAAAAACTTTTTCTATTCCTTATATTGCTATAGGAAGGAAGTCGTACCCCTACCACAAAAAATTCTTTTAAATTATAGCTATCTCTATCGCACTAGACAAAGATCAATTTCCTTCGAACTCACAAAAAAATAAAAAAATCTAAACAAAGACCACATGTATACAGATATTGATATGGCTCTTCTATCTAGCTGTACATGAGTTTGGATAGAGTTTTACATCTTATTAGCAGAAATTATGACGTGTGGTATGAAATTTAGATTAGACGAAAGTCCGATACTATTAGGAATCAGAATTGAGTTCGTGCTCTGGAAAGTCCAGAAAATATGATAACGACTATGTTTAAATGGAGTTTCAAATTGAATAAAGAGGGAACTTAATCTCTTACTCAGGAAAAGTTTAAATGTTGTACAAAGGGAGTTGATAGATATGTGTGAATTCGGTATTTACATTGCATTCACCCTCGTTCCATATTTACAAATTTTTGAAGCTCAAAGTTCTTATGTAATCTTCCAGCTGATGAATCAGCTCTCACTGCATGAATAGATCATTGTAGAATTTCACACACCTTAGCATAATAGTGTCATCTGCAAAAACATCCATAAGGTTAGTCATATCATTTCCAAAATCTCAGCTGATCCTGTAGGTATATTTATGTATAAAAAAATTGAGTTTAGTAACAACCCAAACTAATGACAGTTGTATATTAAATAACAAAAGAAGAAGTAAATCCTTTTTTAGGGTATCCCACAAATTGTCACATTCTAAAACTAGATGCTTTCACTCCAAAATTACCTTCCAACTATAGGTGCCTTCAAACAGCTCCAACAAAGCCTTCTTCTTTCATAAAGAGATAATAGATAAACATGAATTACTTCAACTTTTCTTACTCTATGTGAAAAAAGCTACAGCGAGAATATTATCAGCCGGACAGCGAAACTGCTACTTTATGTGATTCACAAATAAAATAATAGCAACTAAAGGTCAGAGTATTTACAATCAGATTGAGGACTTACTAATTGCTCCAGGAGTCAGTGACTTGTAATTAAAGCTGAATGACATAGTGAGGTTATCAAAGTTTAGATGTCGGACAACTAAGTTCCATTGTGTATAATTCATTCGGTAATTGAAGTTTGTTATAGTAATCTTCACTCTCAAATATTCCTTGTAATCGAGTTTCACATGCCAATGAATGCATACACATGATTTGTGCATGTTGACATGTGATTTTTGACCCTCCCCGAAATTTTACCCATTTTAGCATGTAAATATTTAGTTTAGGCCTAATATCGCCATTTCAACTAATTTTTACTATTTTACTTTATTTTATTACAAGAAAATGAAAAATTATAAAAAATAAGTTTATTAATATTTTATAGTCATTTTTAACCTTAAAAAAATACAAAAATAGTACCCTATCTTTATTTTTATAATCTTGAAAACACAAAAAAATAGTTTTATGTTCTATAGTTTAGTTCAATTAATTAAAATTAGTTTTATATTTTTATATTATAATTGTACATAATTTTAGAATAAAGAATTAGTTTTAGGTTGGTTTATCCCGTTTTTATAAATCTTATAGTCCATTTTTTAGTCTTTGGCCCAAAATCCCTAGCCCATAGTTTCTAGGCCCATACCTCTAACCCAATCCCTACCCTATATAATACTACCTACACCACAAACACACCCTACACTCTAAAATATACAATCAGGCATATACACTCTAATTAGGAGCGCCGCTTCAGGATAGAGGAGACCACTTCGTCTTCTTCACGAGCCCCCCCTCCCTTGAGCTTCTTCTCCATTTTTCAAGCAAGAGAACTTCTCCTTCTCCATTTTTCAAGCAGCAAACCTTAACGCCATCTTCCCCATCAAATAACCATGTAATCTTCCACAAATTTCACTCCAACAGATCCACACAAAACAACCATGAAATTGCTCAAAATCTGACAAAAAAAAGTCGAAGCTCAACTCAAAAACAGCAGTGAGGAAAAGGTGCCAAACAGTCCCGATTAGCTCTAAACTCTAGCGAAAAACAGCTCTATTCTTAATTGAAACTCAGCAAAATCAGGCCCAAAATCATCATCCAAAATCGTGTGGGTCTGGGTCTGTTCGAGGTTTCCGAGTTTTGGGTTCAGTCGCGGACTTACTCGCGGTTCTTGTCTTGAATTAATTTTTGGCTTCGAATTCGGTAAGTGATTTTCTCTTGTAACTCATCCGTGATTGCTATACAAAGTTTTCTTGGAGACTCTACTTCATTGAAGCTTCACTCTTAAAGGACCATCTTTCTCTCTTTAATCTCAATTTCAATGATGGTACTGTGATGCTTATCTCTGGATTTACTTATGCTAATTTAGTTGATTGAATTGCCTTGACTGAATATATTACACTTGATATGTTGTGTTGATCGATGAATATTGGTTGATTTGAGTTGAATTTTTGGTTGAAATTTTAATTGTAAACAACTTATGAATTATTGTCTGGTGGGTTTATGTTGATACTTAATTCAAATGGAAACAGTTAATGAGTCGTTGAAGTAAGTGTGAATAAATGGAATGGGATTGGATTTTGATTGGCAGCAGAGATGCGGTAACTTTGTAATTAAGTGTTTAAGTAATTTCTTAGCTATTTCGATTATGAAAAAATGCAATTACGTTGAAAAATCTCATGTACAGTGACATTTCCTGGTGCTGGAACTACCTATAAAACATTGGTTTTGATTTTTTTTTTTTTTTCTTATTTTGTTTTTCTTGAAATCAGCTGGTTGCACAAGACAGTTGCACGTATGTGGAATGATGGATTTTGAAAGTAGATTGTGTATTTTCATTTCTGAACTTATTTTGGAAGCTTCTGCTTACTTGTCACTAGTTTTAGATAAAAATACAAAGGAACTTTTGTCAAAGTAGTTCATGCATGGCCCTCGCTTTATTTAATCTTGAATTGATCCTTAGATTCCGAGGCGTGCCATTTAGCAAATTCCTTGGCCCTCGCAAAGTGCAAACGCGTAGTTGCTTTAGGCGC